AATTGTACAAGGGTAAAGCATGGTGTCACTACCACTCTGGGCTGGTGACATCTGAGAGCTTGTCGGAGGATCCACTGTGACCTGCTGAGATACTGACTCAGGTCGTGTCAGCATCTGATCCACATGACGTTTCCACACCCCTTGGGCTCCCACATTCACCTTGTATGACACTGGCCCAGTCTTCTCCAGTACGACACCGTGCGTCCACTTGTCCTCTCCCTTCCTATAATCGCGCACCAGGACAGGCTCGCCAACAGTGAACCGTCTGTCCCTGGAGTGTTGCTGTCGGCATTGTTGTTGCGCATCCTGTGACCGACGCACAGCTCCGGCCACACTGGGCTTCAAAAAATCCAGTCGAGAGCGCAGCTTGCGTCCAATGAACAATATAGCTGGCGTTTCTCTAGTTGTTGCATGCGGAGTGTTGTGATATGTCAAGAGGAACGTGTCAAGGCGTTGTTGCACAGGTGCTGTACCCCTGGAGGCTTTCAGTGCATGCTTGAATGTCTGCACAAAACGCTCAGCCAAACCATTAGTGGCAGGATGGTACGGCGCAGAGCGGATGTGTTTGACTCCATTAGCTTTCAGGAACACCCTGAATTCCTCAGAACAGAACTGCGGTCCGTTATCACTCACCAGGACGTGGGGAATGCCATGGCGACTAAAGAGACCCCGTAGCACTTGTATGGTTTTACCAGCTGTGGTGCTATCCATAATATGCACTTCAGGCCACTTGGAATGTGCATCTACCACCACCAGGTACATGTGACTTTCAAATGGACCCGCAAAATCCACATGGATCCGTTCCCATGGACAGGAAGGCCACAGCCAAGGGTGTAAAGGCGCTAACCCAGGCTCTTTTTGCACACGCTGACAAGAGTGGCAGGCTTTAGCTTGAAGCTCAATTTGAGAATCAATGCCAGGCCACCAAACATAGCTGCGAGCTAAGCTCTTCATCCTCACCATCCCTGGATGTGCAGTGTGGAGCTCTTTCAGTACATGAGAGCGCAGCTTAGGTGGCACAACCACCCTCAAGCCCCACATGAGGCATCCCTGCTGTATTGTGAGTTCATGTCTGCGCATCAGATAGGGTGACAGCTCTTGATCTGTGTCCTTTGTTGCTGGAAAACGTCCAGTTATTACCATTTCCAGCACACAAGACAAAGTGACATCAGACAAAGTGTCACGTCTGATCTCGGCGACACTGACTGGTAATGTGTCCAGCTGAGATGCGTAGAATACCTCAACTGCTCCCTGTTTCTCTTTCTGTGCAAGGGGCAGAGGTAAACGTGACAGACCGTCAGCATTGGCGTGATGTGCCCCCTTCCGATACTGTAAGGTGTAATTATGTGCTGACAGAAGGAGCGCCCAACGCTGCATTCGCGCAGCTGCCATTGATGGTGTACCTTTTACTGGACTCAGAATTGAGGTCAGTGGGCGATGATCAGTGAGCAAGGTGAACTTGTTACCATGGAGATACTGGTGAAACTTGCGCACTCCAAAAACAATTGCCAACGCCTCCCTCTCGATCTGAGCATAGTTTCGTTCTGCTTTGCTGAGGGTTCGTGAAGCATAAGCAATTGGCCGTTCTTGGCCATCAGGCATGACATGTGAGAGCACGGCTCCAACGCCATATGGTGAAGCGTCACATGCCAAATGGAGAGGCAGTTCAGGATTGTAGTGGGTGAGTATTTTTGGTGAGGCCAGACGTTCTTTAGCATTCTGGAAAGCTGACTCGCAGGCTGATGTCCACTGCCATTTCTTCTCTTTACTGAGTAGCTCATTCAGCGGCTTCAGGACTGTAGCTAAATCAGGTATGAAACGTCCATAATAGTTGAGCATTCCCAGAAAAGAACGTAACTGGCTGACATCAGCTGGTGCTGGAGCTTCCATAACGGCACGCACCTTTTCTGGTGATTTGTGTAACCCTGCCGCATCAATTATGTGGCCCAGGTATTCCACCGATTCTTGGAAAAACAGGCACTTCTCCTGTTTGAGACGCAGGCCATAGTCCTCCAGCCTGCCCAAAACTGCCTTAAGGGATCTCAGGTGTGTCTCTTTATCTGGACCACTGACGAGGATGTCATCCAGATAACAATGGGTGTATGGTAGGCCGAGAAGCACTTGATCCATAGCCTTCTGAAACAATGCAGGTGAAGACGCCACTCCAAAAGGCAAGCGATTGAAACGGAACAGCCCTTTTTGTGTCGAAATAGTCAGCAGCTTCTTAGACTCCTCTTCTACCTCCATCTGTAAGTAGGCATTTGCTAAGTCTAGCTTACTGAAATGCTGACCTCCTGCTAGAGAAGCAAACAGGTCCTCAATGCGTGGAAGTGGTACTTATCCACACAGAGCTGCGAATTAAGAGTGACCTTGAAATCACCACAGAGTCTCACTGAGCCATCCTTCTTGTTGACAGGGACCACGGGCGTAGCCCAATCACTATGCTCCACTGGTGTGATCACCCCAAGCTCAGTCAGGCGTTTCAGTTCTGCCTCCACCCGAGGGCGGAGAGCATAAGGCACGTTACGTGGTGGACAGAATTTGGGGACACTATCAGGCCTAAGAGTCAATCTGGCTTTAATTCCTTTCATTGTGCCCAGCTCCTTAGAGAAAACGGCAGAGTGTTTCTTTAGCACAGCCTTCAGATTGTCATTTCCGCTTTGCTCTCTGGCATGGACCATCTTTAAGTCTTTCCAGTTCAGCTTAATCACTCTCAGCCACTCCCTACCAAACAGTGGTGGAGCATCCACCTTTACCACGTACAAGGGTAGAGTTGCACGCTGCTTATTCAGTTCAACTTGCACCTTGATGACCCCTTCTGGTGCCAGCGGCTCCCCAGTGTACGTTTTCAGCATGATGTCAGTGGGTTGCAGCGGCAACTGACTCAGCATACTTTTATATTGTTCCCATGGAATCAAAGACACAGCAGCCCCTGTATCCATCTCCATCTCCATTTTCTTCCCGTTAACTACAGGCATTAGGGAGATACGTGAATATTTCTCTTTTCGTGACAAAGAACACAGCTCCAACTCACTATCAGTGTCGGGTCTGGTTCCTTCACTTTCACTCTCCTCAGCGGCAACATGATGAATTCTCCTCTTTTTGTCCTTTGCTCTGTTTTTAACTGCATTGCCTTTCAGCTCATGTTTCCCCTCTTTCTCTTTCCTGTTCCAATCTTGGCTGCTTCTGGCTCTACCTTTGCACATGCGTTTCGTGTGGCCCTTCCTTCCACACTGGTGACAGTCACGGTCTTTGTACCAGCAGTCATCATCAGTATGATTCATTTTCCTGCAGCGGCGGCATTTTTCACCTCTTTGTGACAGCACTGCATTCACTTTAAGGGAACCACTCAACTGCTGCACTTCACGTGTTGCTGTCTCTGCCGACACAGCATAATCAACTGCTTTGCGAAACGTGAGATCCTTCTCAGTCAAAAGACGCTTCTGCACAGTTTCACACTTTAATCCACACACAAATCTGTCTCGTAGAGCATCTTCCAGATACGCACCAAACTCGCAATGTTCTGACAGTCTTTTCAGCACCGCCACATACTGTGCGACCGTTTCTTCTTCCCCCTGATTCCTCTTGTGGAACCGGAACCTTTCAGCTATTACCAGCGGTTTGGGAGCAAAATGAGCTTGCAAAACACCCACAATATTGTCATACTGCATTGTCCCAGGCTTGCTTGGCGCCACTAGATTACACAGCAGACTGTACGTCTTGGGACCCATCACACTCAGCAGCACCGGGACCCGTTTCTCAGGCTGAATGTCATTAGCAAGGGTGTAATGCTCAAAACGTTCAATATACGTCGCCCATTGCTCACCAGCATCATCAAAAGGGTCCATCTGTCCAATCATTCCAGCCATGATGTATCCGCTGTCCACAGCCAACACTGTCGTTTTTGACTCGTCGGCGAAAAGCAGCTAGCAGCTAGCTCCGATGCTAATTCACCACGCGATCGTCCGTTTTCTGTCCGAACTCGGCCACGCAGTCAGTTCATGCTCAGTAGACAGCCAAGTCTTCCAGACGTCACAACTCGTCGCCAATTTATGTTATATTTCCACTGTAGTGTCAATACACTATTAAGGATTATGCCGAGTCAGACTGCACATACAACAGTTTGTTTACAAGTTGACTTCTTCTTTATTGAGATCACACAGAAGTAACATACATACATAACTGGGCGTGGTGCCCCCTACTGGCGATGGCTTGCATAGCACACAATAATTCTTGGTTCATACATAACAGCTACATTGTAGCTTGCCATCACCAGTGTGTGAATGTGTGTGTGAATGGGTGGATGACAGGTTGTGTAAAGCGCTTTGGGGTCCTTAGGGACTAGAAAAGCGCTATACAAATACAGGCCATTTACCATTTACTGTTGCACGTCATCTGTGTCCTCATGTTTAGCCTGCCGCGGCCGTTGGTTGGAGGAGCCGCAATAGTTTGGAAAGGAAGGAAGCAGTAAGGTCAGTTTCCATTCTGGGTTTTCAGCATTAATAAAGAAACCTGCAACAAGGTGAGTAATGTTTGAGGTCCAAAAGAAATCAACACAGAGAAATTTTTACAGTGCTTTTCTACTCTACCTGAACATTCAAAGCGCTCTATACAGGTTGCCTCATTCACACCTGTTAATAGAAGCCCTTTTTCTGTGCTTTCTACCTAACATTCACACACATTCATACTCTGATGAATGCATCAGAGAGTGACTTGGGGTTAATGTCTTGCCCAAGGACAGTTAGCATGCAGTCTGGAGCAGCCAGGGATCGACCCAAAAACCATCTGATTAGTAGATGACCTGCTCCACCTCCTGAGCCACAGCCACCCCTTTCAGAGGTAAAGAATGATTTAGAAAGGAAGTACAGTAATTTTTTGAGGTGATTTGATTAAAAAAAAAATCATTTTTGCTTCTAATTACATAATTAAGGTGTAATTACATCTTCCAACAAATTGATACATAAACGTATCATTTATCTACTAAAAATACATAGGAGCTGGCGTCATGTTGTGGAAGCTGCCATCTTGCCCCACCATCATACACTGGCTGAGATGGGCATCGCTGCGCCGCCTTTTCATGTTTTATGTAAGTGGATTTATACATTACTTTGAATTTAAAGATGTCAAATAGCTCTTTCAAACTACATATGACTATTTCACATTTGTACATGTATATTTTGGTGATCTCTTTCTCAGTATGTTTTTCTTCTTATGGAAATAAGCTAATTTTAAACCAGTTAATGTTAGGCTCCAGTGTCCTAAGAAATCACACCTTTCCCCTGATAAACAAATTGATTGGATTCTCACATTGTGTGGGAATTGATTATCAATTACAACTTCAATGAGCCACTTCAAAGAAAGTTTCACCCGCGTGGGCAGCAACAGAAAGTCCAGATGTGGAAACAGAAGGTTTCCACATTAAAATATCGATATTTGAATCATTTTGGGGTAAATTGTAGTTTTTCATTAACAGGAACACAGTGGAAAGAAACTATCATTCAGATTGTCTACATTGGAAAGAACTACTCCCTCTTCCGCCTTTTATAGTCATGTGTGAAATACGGCTGTATAAATGTGTGGCAGCCTGTGGCGTGCGCACTCACAACAATGGCTGAGCGTAACTGGAGTCATGTGCGCACGTATTTTACATCCACAAACAGCCCAGACGTGGTTTGCGATACATGTGGCAAGAAAGTGAGGTGTTGTGGCAACACCACTAACCTTGTCAAACACCTCAAAGTAAATCATATCACAGAATATGACGAGCTTATGTTGAGGCAAACTGAAGAGGAGGAGAAGGACGGGTGCTGCTAGGGTGAGACAGACGTCTCTCAGGGAGTCCTTTAGTGCTGCAGGCAGGCAAGGTGTTCACATAGTGCACAACTTCAGGTTTTTGATTTCTATATGATGAATTCTGCATTATTAAGTGATAAGAACAAGTAATCTGATGTCCTGTAATGATTATGACGCTATAATTTGAGATACAATAAAAGAGTAAAGTTTTTGTACAAAGTATCGGAGCAGTATCGTCGATACCACCCTGAATTTTACTTGGTATGGGATCGGAAAGGAAATCAGTGGTATCACACATCACTAGTGATCAAATGTCAGGCCAAGCTGGAACTGATTCCTGTCTTCTGTAACTTCTACAACACTGTCCAATAGAGACACATGAATGAACTGCAGCGTCATTAAAAACACTGATGATCTTTATTTAAAAATGTAATACATTTACATCTGAATAAACTTTTAGGCATTACGCTGACGGAGGGATGGATGGACCATGAATGCTTTCTCATCCTTCTTGTCATGCACCATGGAAGTGTCTGAGGGGCTTTTCCACTTGGAATGGGGATACTGTGTCCACACTTCAGAGGTGGAGTTTCCAGCATCTCACCTGGGCCTCATCTGCAAACAATCAGCAGGAGGGCTTCTTAAACCAGCGCTGCCTGCTACTCCTCGCCAGTTTGTTCTGCCATCTCCAGTGGTAACTAGGCTTCCCCTCTGCTCCAGTTCTGGCGTGCTCCTTCCCTGTGTTTAACCTTGTTTTCCCTGTGTTTAGGTCTCCTCTGCCAACATACTCATCCTACCCTCAAACTCCCTTACCCGTCCAGCAACTTCTTCTCCCTCTGTTGCAGAATTCCCGTTGGATTGTTCCCATCAGGAGCCAGGTGTTCAGTCTCTCGATAGCTTTTCCTCTGGTTCCTGCTGTCTGCTGACACTCCTAGCTCGAGCCACGTTCTCCATTCCCTCTCTAAAGTCTCATAAATAGTTTAACCATGTGCATTGAATCTGCATTTGGGTCTAAGCTTTCTATGCAGGGAAGAAATCATCACAGTGACATCTATTTAATTTTCAATTCAATTTTATTTAAAGAGCGCCAAATGACAGCAACAGTCACCTGAAGGCGCTTTATATTGTAAGATATACTTACAAAGAAAACCCCAACAATCATATGACCCCCTATGAGCAAGCACTTTGGCGACAGTGGGAAGGAAAAACTCCCTTTTAACAGGAAGAAACCTCCAGCAGAACCAGGCTCAGGGAGGGGCGGCCATCTGCTGCGACCGGTTGGGGAGGGGCAAGGAAAATAGTATAAAGACATGGAACAGAGACAGAGGTTAATAACAAGTACCATTCAGTGCAGAGAGGTCTATTAAACATAGTGGGTGAAGAAGAAACACCCAGTGCATCATGGGAATCCCCCGGCAGCCTAATGCTGGGCATACACTGTGCGATTTTTGGCCCATTTTGAGCCGATTTTTCAGTCGTGCGATCGTTTTGGGGATCGTCCCGAGTTTGGCCTTGATCAAACTTCTCACCCCTGCGAGTCAATCCTACAGTTTGATCAGGAGCCGAATAACGCGACTGAAAAATCGCAGCACAGTGTATGCCCAGCTTATTGCAGCATAGAGGATTCAGGATCACCTGAGTAGGCCATCAGATTACTGAAAGGATACTGAAAAAACCCGTCGAAGTAGTCTTAGTCTTCATTGCTGCTGGTCGACTCAATTGAACACCTCTGAAGTTTGCACACAGGCAAGTATTGCTCTTCTTGCTCAAAATCCTCTCGGGAACGCTTCCTCGAGCCTCCAGTTTCGTGTTCAAGCTCTTCGTGCGCATCTTCAAATACTTCAGAGTAATCATCGCTCCATCTCATTCTTTTGTTTGCTCCTAAATCTTCTTCATCCCTCTCTCTAGACCTCTTCCTGGAAACACCTGGCTGAGGGTCCTCTTCTGGGATGTACTGGCGAACATCCATGCGGCCTTCAAATGCCTCCTCATTTTCAATGCCACCAACATCGTCATCGTCATCGTTGCCGTCGCCGTCGCCGCCGTCATCGGCGTCATCGTTGTCGTCATCGTCGTTGTCGTCGTCGTTGTCGTTGTCGTTGTCATCGTCGTCATCGTCATCGTTGCCGTCGCCGTCGCCGCCGTCATTGGCGTCATCGTTGTCGTCATCGTCGTTGTCGTTGTCGTCGTTGTTGTTGTTGTCGTTGTCGTCATCGTCGTCGTCGTCGTCGTCCCCGTAAAGGTAATTGTCATATTGTGCCAGTACTGAAGCTATTAGCTCATGTAGATAGCAACAATAATCACAGAGAGCGAGATACAGATCGTTCAGGAAGCCATTAGCAGGTTCCTGATCTCCATTTGCCAACATTCGTGGGTTAACCTGTTGGCCTGCAAGATCATTAAATCTTTTAATTAACATCCATAACTATCTGCTGAAAATCTGTTTTTCATCAATTTCAAGACTGAGTACATGTGCTTACCGTTTTGGTTATTTTGTGGTCCGTCTCCACTTGCACTCATTTTGACTACAAGGAACACAAAACAACAATGATCACTAAACCTCAACCCAGAATGTTCAGAGAATTTGCTTTTTTTGTGATGACTTTAGGCTGCGTCCAAACGTACACGGCTATGTTTGAAAAAAAATAAAAATCCAGTCCACATGTGCAGTTTTGAAAAAATATCTCCTTCCACATCTAAACACTAAAAACAAAGTGAAACGCTGTCAAGAACACGCCAAATCTTAACCGTGTAGAAATGTTGGCCAATCAGAAGTCTAGAAGCCTGGGTGGGAAAACCTCATAAAACCTTACGTACTTCTGAGAAGTTTTTGTCTTTTTCTGGAAAAGCAGCTAATTTTGTGTTACTTTCACGTGCCTTCATCGTTTCAAATGTTAATAACTAAAGACAGACTCACAACTTTGGAATGGACTAAATGCATACAGCATACATAAATGTCATTTTTTTAAATTACATTTCTTCCAAACCGACGTCAGGATTTGGGTTGGGAGAGCGTCTGTGTTGAATGTAGAATCCACGTCTGATGTAAGCGTGTAAAAACTGCAGATACTAAGATTAACAGACACAGTATGTTGTCTACATCTGCCATTGTAGAAATTGATCTCACGTAAACAATAACGTGGCCACAGCGTGACTTCAACAGCGTCGCACACTTTTGACATTGCCTGAGTAAATGTCCGTTTTCCTCGTCCACACCTAAACACAAAAACGTCCTTTTTAAAAATCTCACCTTTCAGTGACTCAATCTGCTGTTTAGGTGTGGACGAAAGGCCCAAATGCAGAGACAAAGCTGCGCTTTCAAAAATAGCCGTGTACATGTGCACGTAGGCTCAGTTTCTCAGAAATTCTAATAGTTTGTTTGAGAACAAAACTTACGTCTTCTCTATTTTCCTAAATGAACAAAATAATCTCAGAAATAATCTTGTTAAAAAGAGCTTCTGTCACTCTAAGATATGATTAAGAACATTTTCTAATTTATGTATCATTTGTCAAATATTACATCAGCTGACAAATAGTTAAGTCTTCATTTGTTTTCCTGAATAATAGATCCACATCATCCTCTCTATGATGGAAAATATAGTCTAGTCTTGCACAATGTAAAGTACATAAATACTGTCCTGGCAAGCAGGGAAATCAGGCTTTATATATTTAAGTAAATGATCTTGAGTTTATAAACTGAAATTTGAGCTTACTTTAGTTCTTGGTAGATTACACAGCAGTTAATCCTCAGGGAAACGTCCAAATGTCACTAAATAGTGGTCTGCTTTCATTCGGTTGCAGTGTCTCTTCAGTTTTGTGTTCATATGCTGATGTTTTCATTCAAACATGCTTAAATGCTGTGATGTCACTTTAGCAGCAAAGACTGCGGAATGTGCAGAGATTCTTTTGACATCAAGTTGTTTGCTCAGATTTTGATATCTTTTAAATGGAGACAAAACAAAACGCTATGGCAACAAAACAACAAGCTGTTTCCAGTGCTTAATATTTAACATGTCTTTGTTATAAATTTGATTTGTACAAATCTGTGATGTTGATGTGCACAACGTGGGATTTAGACCTCGGAGGGTTAATCAACAAATCACGAAAAATTAGGTTTAAATTTCTGTTCATGACGGTGCAGATTTCTGACATTTTGTGTACTTGAAGCATTTAACAATTTGATTGTTTTCTAATAAAAACTGTGTGAAACTCAAGTTAGAACTGTGTTTGTAAATGAACCGCCCCATGTTGTGTAGCTTTCTGGATTTTATACTTATTGGGCTACATATTAATTTACTATACAGGCTATACAGTAGATAAAATCTAACCTCACATGTTTTATGTAACTAAAGTGTTTAATCATGTGGGCTACAGACAGTAATCAAGTTATGGACTGTATTGATATGAAAAACATGCATACTTAGTGCATTTGAATCATTTTAACCATATGTAACCACCTGCATGTCATGGTCCTGGGACTTCTACCTGGTTTTTTGTGTGTCTTGTATTGTTGTTGTTTGATGTCAGCTTTAGGGTCCCTCGGTTGTTCTGTTAAGATGTTGCTTATTTGATTTCCCCTCGTGACTTTACCCCCTGTGTGCCCCCTCTGTGTATCTGCCAGCCCCCATGCCTCGTTTCTCCTCCTTGTGTTTTATTCCATGTTTTCCCAGCCCGCTATGTCTGTGTTCTCTTCCAATCTGGTCTGCGTCTCTGTGTGCTTCCTGTTTTACTTTGATAGTCTCCCGTCAGTGTTGTGTTACTCCTGCCGTGTCTCGTTATGATTATCAGTGTCGCCTGTGTTCCCCGTGTGCTCCCACTTCCCTCGTTAACCCTCTGTGTATTTGTGTCCACGTCTCCTACATTACCTACATAATAGAGCTATAATAAATGTTTGTTTGGGGTTTTTTTAAGTACAGAAATCAGCTGCTAAAATAATTGTTTTGACTTTTTGGGAATGCTTTACGGTCTGTTCTGTAGGAACGCTGAATTAATATATTGACTGTCTGGCCCCTTCTGGCTATTTAATAGTTGCTGAAGGAGATTTTGTTCATCCCCAGCTAATCTCATCCATATTTATATAAAATCTAGCATACTCCACACCACACAAAGTCAGAAGCCAGTTAAAATCTGTATGTGGTACCTGAGGCGGTGCTGCACTGACCAGTTGTTTCTGGCTATTTGCTGGTTCAGCCTGCCTATCACTGCAACTCTTGGCTCTTATTGGTCAGGCTGGTGTGTGTGTGTGTGTGTGTGTGTGTGTGTGTGTGTGTGTGTGTGTGTGTGTGTGTGTGTGTGTGTGTGTGTGTGCATTGTAAAGACTTGATTCCCACAGTCCAAGTCAGGGTTTTAAAATGCGTTGCTGTCTCCATCCAGCATCAAAGCTGCATTGAAATTTCCTTCAATGAAATTTTGGCTCAAAGAAAAACAGTGTTGTTACTGTCAATCTCCAGTTAAAATAAAAGTGTAATTAAACCAAACGAAAGTAATGTACTAATGCTGGTCAAGACATTACCTGTAGCTGAGTGACATTTCTGTTGGTGTCTGCAGTTTCCACTGGGGCTTAGTGTCTACTGCTACCCGACTGCACCACCATCCTCCACATTGCTATGCGTCCATTGGTGGTGCCAGCTGCTAGGATTTCTGAGTGTTGCAGAATTTTTAAAAAAGCAACGAGTTTTTTATTTTTAACCTATGCATTTGGAAACATTCAGGAATATGGTGATGGGAAAGAAAAAGGTGGTTTCCATGAAGTCTCCCTCTCGCATCCACCTTCCATACTGCCAAAGCTCCAGACTGTCAATAACAATAATAACAGTAATAGTTAACAGTTAATTTGCCTAGCACTTTCAAAACAGTTACAAAGTGTGTTAAAGAACACAATAAAATCTAAGTTAAAAACTCAAAAGAAAAGTTCAAAGAGTTAAAACACGAAACGGTTTGTTTTCTTTTTGCATTGAGCCAGGCTGCACGGACAGCTAAGAGTGTCTGATGTGCAGAATGCAGGCAGTGACTTGGTTCATAAAAAGTGACCAAATCTGAACAAGGCTTGTACCCATGTATCGTATACCCAAAAGGTTGTGAGGAGGAGAATGATGATTTATTTCTTTGAATTTGTTATAAGTCTGGCAGCTGAGATTTAAATGAGCTGGAGGTGAAAGATGGACTTCTGGCTGAGATCCCAGTAGAAGGAATTACAATTATTCAAACACAATGAGATAAAAGGATTTAATGGGTGTGATAAATGTGGTTGCACTCACCTGTTCACGGCACCTGATGTTAATGAGCAGAAAGGTAGGGTGAGCATGAGGCGAAACCTTCTGTTGACTGCAGCTTGAGCGCAGCTTGAATCATTTTGATGCATCTTTTGTTTATGTATACTTCTGCACTAAGTTATGCAATAGGCCAATGTTGAAATTTGGCATAGTAAATGGTGCAGTTATTTGTGCAGTCTGTGCATTTGTTTAATGGTTTGAGGCCGTGTGCCGATTTGTACAGTGGACAGTTGTATGTGGAATAAAAGTAGCAAATAGTACAGAGGTGTATCTCATGGGGCGATCGTGGCTCAAGAGTTGGGAGTTCGCCTTGTAATCGGAAGGTTGCCGGTTCGAGCCCCGGCTTGGACAGTCTCGGTCGTTGTGTCCTTGGGCAAGACACTTCACCCGTTGCCGCCTGGTGGTGGTCAGAGGGCCGGTGGTGCCAGTGTCCGGCAGCCTTGCCTCTGTCAGTGCGCCCCAGGGTGGCTGTGGTTACATTGTAGCTTGCCATCACCAGTGTGTGAATGTGTGTGTGAATGGGTGGATGACAGGTTGTGTAAAGCGCTTTGGGGTCCTTAGGGACTAGAAAAGCGCTATACAAATACAGGCCATTTACCATTTACTGTTGATGAATGCATCAGAGAGTGACTTGGGGTTAATGTCTTGCCCAAGGACAGTTAGCATGCACTCTGGAGCAGCCAGGGATCGACCCAAAAACCATCTGATTAGTAGATGACCTGCTCCACCTCCTGAGCCACAGCCACCCCTTTCAGAGGTAAAGAATGATTTAGAAAGAAGTACAGTAATTTTTTGAGGTGATTTGATTTAAAAAAAATCATTTTTGCTTCTAATTACATAATTAAGGTGTAATTACATCTTCCAACAAATTGATACATAAACGTATCATTTATCTACTAAAAATACATAGGAGCTGGCGTCATGTTGTGGAAGCTGCCATCTTGCCCCACCATCATACACTGGCTGAGATGGGCATCGCTGCGCCGCCTTTTCATGTTTTATGTAAGTGGATTTATACATTACTTTGAATTTAAAGATGTCAAATAGCTCTTTCACACTACATATGACTATTTCACATTTGTACATGTATATTTTGGTGATCTCTTTCTCAGTATGTTTTTCTTCTTATGGAAATAAGCTAATTTTAAACCAGTTAATGTTAGGCTCCAGTGTCCTAAAAATCACACCTTTCCCCTGATAAACAAATTGATTGGATTCTCTCATTGTGTGGGAATTGATTATCAATTACAACTTCAATGAGCCACTTCAAAGAAAGTTTCACCCGCGTGGGCAGCAACAGAAAGTCCAGATGTGGAAACAGAAGGTTTCCACATTAAAATATCGATATTTGAATCATTTTGGGGTAAATTGTAGTTTTTCATTAACAGGAACACAGTGGAAAGAAACTATCATTCAGATTGTCTACATTGGAAAGAACTACTCCCTCTTCCGCCTTTTATAGTCATGTGTGAAATACGGCTGTATAAATGTGTGGCAGCCTGTGGCGTGCGCACTCACAACAATGGCTGAGCGTAACTGGAGTCATGTGCGCACGTATTTTACATCCACAAACAGCCCAGACGTGGTTTGCGATACATGTGGCAAGAAAGTGAGGTGTTGTGGCAACACCACTAACCTTGTCAAACACCTCAAAGTAAATCATATCACAGAATATGACGAGCTTATGTTGAGGCAAACTGAAGAGGAGGAGAAGGACGGGTGCTGCTAGGGTGAGACAGACGTCTCTCAGGGAGTCCTTTAGTGCTGCAGGCAGGCAAGGTGTTCACATAGTGCACAACTTCAGGTTTTTGATTTCTATATGATGAATTCTGCATTATTAAGTGATAAGAACAAGTAATCTGATGTCCTGTAATGATTATGACGCTATAATTTGAGATACAATAAAAGAGTAAAGTTTTTGTACAAAGTATCGGAGCAGTATCGTCGATACCACCCTGAATTTTACTTGGTATGGGATCGGAAAGGAAATCAGTGGTATCACACATCACTAGTGATCAAATGTCAGGCCAAGCTGGAACTGATTCCTGTCTTCTGTAACTTCTACAACACTGTCCAATAGAGACACATGAATGAACTGCAGCGTCATTAAAAACACTGATGATCTTTATTTAAAAATGTAATACATTTACATCTGAATAAACTTTTAGGCATTACGCTGACGGAGGGATGGATGGACCATGAATGCTTTCTCATCCTTCTTGTCATGCACCATGGAAGTGTCTGAGGGGCTTTTCCACTTGGAATGGGGATACTGTGTCCACACTTCAGAGGTGGAGTTTCCAGCATCTCACCTGGGCCTCATCTGCAAACAATCAGCAGGAGGGCTTCTTAAACCAGCGCTGCCTGCTACTCCTCGCCAGTTTGTTCTGCCATCTCCAGTGGTAACTAGGCTTCCCCTCTGCTCCAGTTCTGGCGTGCTCCTTCCCTGTGTTTAACCTTGTTTTCCCTGTGTTTAGGTCTCCTCTGCCAACGTACTCATCCTACCCTCAAACTCCCTTACCCGTCCAGCAACTTCTTCTCCCTCTGTTGCAGAATTCCCGTTGGATTGTTCCCATCAGGAGCCAGGTGTTCAGTCTCTCGATAGCTTTTCCTCTGGTTCCTGCTGTCTGCTGACACTCCTAGCTCGAGCCACGTTCTCCATTCCCT